GTGTAGTTTGTGCTTAGCATATTTAAGGTGTGGTGGTACAAGAAAGCCCTCTGATCCAGACATAGTTTAATGGACGGCAAGAATAGAAAATAGTGACAATGGAGCCAGACATCCCGAATGCGACACATGGTCCTATTTGACAAGGCGGCTGAAGGGACGATGTTGACAAGATGGCCCTCGACAAGGTAGCGTTGCGAGATGTTGACAAAGTTTAGGATGGAACCTTTTTGAACGGGTTGCATCCCGGACGGGTGTGGAGCACACCGTCAATGTTCTTGTACACGAAGAGGTTTAGAGCAATGCTGCATCTTGTTGTCAGACAAGAGCTCGATGTCAGCTGCGAATCTTTGATCACGTCCGAGTTTTGCATGCACTTCTCAATAGTGCATTGGAGTGCGTCGACATCCCGGCCATTAAAGAAGTCTATGCTCGAGCAAGGAGATCAGAAAGATGAGGTCAATTATACATAGGACAACGTACCACTATGGAGCAAGAGTGACAAGGCCTAACAAGACGATGACGACAAGGCTGAGTGAGATGGCCTCAATAAAGCGGCTCTAAGAGAACGATTTTGACAACGTTTAGGACCAAGAATGACAAACCGACCTAACAAGACGACGACAAGACGGCTGAACAAGACGTGCCGACAAGGCAGTTCGACAAGGGCGACATGGTGTAAGACAAACCTGAACAACTATTCTTCGACAATCACGGCCTGATCTCCGACTTTCAAGACGAATACAGGAACGTGGTTGGACAAAAAAAAAAGGAAAATCAAGTCACTTGGAAGATTAAAGAAATGATCGCATTGGGAAAGTGGATAAATACCCCACGCTAGTAGCTAGCCTAGTCCAGCATGGACGACTACTTCCCAATGCCTGCTAAACTAAGGAACAATGATCCTGCGGATATCATGTTCCGAAGGTTAGGCAGGTTACAGATACAATTCGATCACTTGGCCAAAGATATCACATCCATGCAACCCAAAAGTGCTTCGGTCTCTACAAAAATGGGGTGTAAAAATAAGCCGGTAACTGGCTCTTTGAAGGAAAGAAACTCGGTCTGGGAACAAGAACCGAAGAAACGGCTATTCCCAATACTCGTCCACGACATCATGCGCCTTATAGTGGACGACGTCTGCCCTAATATCGAGACGGGTGCCCTCCTTTCCGCATCTAAAGGAGGATCAGCGGCGTTAAAATCAATGAGACTGTAAGTCACGAATCAAGAACTGCGTCAATTTCACTCACCCCCCAGATTCTACAGGGCAAACAGCTATTTTTCCGACCTAGTGACGCCAAAATTATTCAGCAACGTTGCTATAGGGAAGGCCAGACTCATAGATGACATCCCTTCCAGTATCCTGCGGCATATTCGCTTAATATCCCTTTATCCTCACGCATTCGCGTCTTCCCCTCAAACCTGGTCTCGAATACGTTCAGTTAAGATTATCGGGATTTACTGTGTCACTTCACACAATACTCCATTTTGGTCTTATATTCACTCCCATCTACTGAAATATCAACACAAAATCGTACACTTCGGTCTCTACAAAAATGGGGTGTAAAAATAAGCCGGTAACTGGCTCTTTGAAGGAAAGAAACTCGGTCTGGGAA